AAAAAAAAAAAAAAAAAAGAGAGAGAGAGAGGGTTCAACTGCGAAATAGATCACAACCGCAATTTGACGGCGATTTAAGCGCGAAAGATCACTGAAGTTGGAGTATTTTTTTTGTTGGCCCACACATAGCTGAGTGACAAAAAATGCAAATGTGTCGAGTCCGCGTGGCGATTATTTCGCAATCTTACCATGCAGCCAAATTTTTATGCCGAATTGGCGTGTTGATTATGTTGCAGTTTAAATGAATTTTTAAAATTTTTTTGCTATTTTTCCTGGAAAGATGACGACCTAATCTATAGATTTTCAAATTTCCAATTTTTTCAGTGAACTCCTTTGAGCACAAAAAATCATCAAAGTTGCCTTTTGCAAATTGCGGGACTGGCTCAGCCTGTACCCTCCGCCTTGGACAACCTGCACGTGGGACTCTACACAACGCCTCCCCTTCCCACTTTTTTTTGGGGTCCGACAACCGGTCTTTCCTTTTTCCAAAAGTCCTAGTTCTACAAGGGTTAGCTATAGGTAGTTCGCAATTTCGTGAAGGACCGTTCCCCCAAAAAAATTTGCCCCCTAAGAAGCCACTTTGAGTCTTGGTCGCCCGCCGCCGAAAATGCGACACCTTAACACAGACGTCAAAGCCCACTATACTGCAGCCTTCCCGAAAACATCTAAAAGAAAAAAGTAAATAAACTAACATATCCCTGGGGCTCAACTCCATTGACTTACTGTGAGGGCACGGGTGCGCAGCCTGTAGTTTGTTTCTTGATGTGGTTGGGGAAGGGTAAGGTAGTCATTATATTGTATTATATTGTATGTATGTTTTGTCATGTTCACTATACACTGTACCACACAAGACGCGGGAATGCAGCCAGTCAGGAGCGAGGAGCAGGGCAGGCGAGGTGGCACTTTTCATGCCCGTGCAAGCGGAGCGACGACGGCGGATGACCTTTACACAAAGAGACAAACGAAGAGAGAAAAAAAGAGAGACGAAGCGAGAGGGAGTGAGAAAAAGGGGGGGGGAGAGAGAGACAAAGGGAGACAAAGAGATAAGGAGAGGCACAAAACGAGAGAGCACTCGGGGGTTGGGGGAGGGGGGGGAGAGAGAGAGATGAAAAAACAACAAACAAAAAAAATGCATTTGGTCTACCAACAATACAAATACATGTAGAGAGGGGGGGCAGAGAGGCTGAGGGATCCAACCGCAGAGACTAAGGGCCTCGCTTGACGGGACAACACTCGCATGTATCAGAAGGTGTTAATGGTCCCAATACATTCAAAATGTTCAATCAGTCTGAATGTACTCGGTCCACCAACAGTCCAGATACATGTAGAATGTTGAGTAGTGGGGCGACACCCAAATGCGAAGAACCATGCAGAAACGCACAGAGAAAAAAAGAAAAACATAAAAAAGAAATTGAAAAAGAGACCGAGAAAGAATGAGAAAACTATAGAAAAAATGACAAAAATGATTTAAAAAATGAACAGAAAAATGAAAGAACTCGGCCCAACTCGATTTTTGTCTTTTTTGTTTTCTTTGTTTTTCTTGGGCTTTTGCCTTCTTTACATCTCCGAATACGGGGCTCGCTCCGCAAAACGAGAGTGAATCTTCCCTTAGAACACGGTACGCTACACCGCCATGATTATTGTTTTTTGTGCCTCGCTCCAGTCCTCACCACATGCATAAAAGACAAAAATATCTGGCGGTGCATATTTCCATGTTTTATGGGAAGATTCATTCTCATTTTGCACATTTGGTGAGTAGACGAGCGCAGTCCGCCCCAAAACAAAACAACCTCCGAAAAAAA